AGTCACGCATGTAACCCTCTGAGACTTTACGTCCCGTCGCCACAGTTGCTGTACCACCACTGGGAGACAGGTTCACCGGCTTGGCTCCTCAGCGGAAACCAAATATGCGATGCATCCGCTTCCGTATTAAAGGGGTCATATAATGGTACATGCACTTTTTCAAGTTGATTGTACTGAAATGTGTGTTGGCAGTGCCTGTACACAACCATCCTATAATGATAAAAATCCATCCAGTGTTTTTGTTTTAATCTCCTTAAAATGTTTTCCCCTGCCTCAAATTGAGCCGTTCGATTTTGTGACGTCACTAAATCGGACGCCCCTCCCATGATTGTTGATTGACAGCAGCGTTTCAACACATCCCCGCCCTGAGCGAGCTGTCATCATAGTCCGTCATTGTTGATACACTATAGCAGAATGGCGTCTAAGCGATTGTGGTGTTCTGTTCTTGGGTGTAATAACGAACACAGCAGTCATTTTGATGTTCCTAAATCCGAAACGCTGAAGACACAGTGGCTGAGTTTTGTTTTCGAAAGGAATATTCCCCACGAGCAACGTCAATGCTTTCATGTTTGCGCGAATCATTTCACACCAGACTGCTTTATAAACAAGGGTCAGTATGAGCTGGTTTTGCTAAGAAGCTGCCCCTGAAAAAAAGATCGGTACCAACTATTCGTGTCCCTGCTGCACCTCCAGAAGAAGTGAGTGTAAAGTTGTATTAACCTTTATATTAATCTTTGCAAATCGCGAAAAAAAGTTGTTCATGACCATTAACTGTAACATCAATCTGTCAACGAACTAACCTATACATCAGTAAACACATAGCGTTCGTATCTCACTACTCTACCCTGCCACTGCCAGTGCATACAAAGATAGATCAAAGTGACATTACGTTAACCAACCATTCAGAAACGTCCTGTTCAAGCCTTAATTGTCGAACTTCTTTGCGGCCGTCATCTTGTTCCGGGTCCGACTCCGGTTCAAACTGATACAGTTGCACAGATGTGTCCTCAGAGACTCCCGCTGCCATTCTTTCTCCAAAATATACCTTCAACTGTTGTCAAGGCAACACTCCACGTGCGTTGTGTCTAAACGCCCGCAGAACAGAGGGGCGGAGTGAGCAAAGCTCATTATCATTTAAAAGCATATGCACTGAAACGGCGTGCTAAAAACAGAGCTGTTTTTGACCAGGTAAAATGAGTGTTTTCTTACAATACTAATGAGAATTTTTAATAAAAGTATATTACAAAGTTTTCATTTAGACCCTAAAGATTCATTTTAACTTGTACAAAAATGGCATTATATGACCCCTTTAATACCCCCGCTGTGGGGCGGGGGTATTAAAGTATTAAAGGGTACATAAGATGCAAATCTCATATGCCAACGTCCATTGGCTCATTTAGTTATACTCGAAGTAGATTGGTCTCTCAAAGCGATCCCCAATTTGTCGGTTCACTTCCGACGTAACATCTCTGTTCCCTCCTTCAGGGATCGAGGGTAACATATACTGTACGTAACTGAGACTATTTCTAAAATATAATTTTTACCTTAAAAATAACATTTAAAAAATCATTAAAAAAAACAAACATTGAAAACATTGATTGAGATGTGTACAACCATATAGGGTGTAGACCTATAGGGTGTAGAAACTTAAATAACTTTTATCTGGTTAAACCACATGACATTTTTAGAATAGTTAAATCTAAACTATAACTTTTTTTTTTTTTTTTTTTGAAAATCAAAACTATATAAAACCAACATTAATTACAGAGTCCTAAAAAAACTTGTAATGTACAATCTAAGAATGTGTAGTTTGAGGTCCCATATTTATCAAATCAATAAGGAAATGGAATCAGAATAACAATTAGAATTGTTAAATTCCTTACAATTACTATTTGCAGTCATAATTTAGGCATTGTGTAAGTTTCGAGGAGAAGCCACAGCTCATGTGACAGCCCATTAGCGTGATGTAATTGTTAGCAAACAGAAGTGTTCCAGAGAGCAGTTCAGACAATCGCATGCAAATTGAAACAACGATCCACCTCTCAGTCGATCATGTATCTGTTTACAAGAGCACTCGTGACTCCATCCAGCTTCTCAGAGATAATGCACATTGCCTTTCACTTAAATTGAATCACAATTAGCAATTTAATCTCTGATTGAATGTAACTTCAATTGATTGAATTCAAATTCACAGTTCTCATCCTTTGTCCACTTTTGGACTTTAGAGGTGTAAAAAGTTGTTGCAAAGGGCTGCATATTGTTTCAGTAGGTTGTGGACTTTGGTATGTTTTCATGAAATAAATATAAGTGCATACAGGATGGAGAGTAACAAAAAGAACAGCAGATGCCTGTCAGTGAAAAGCTTTATCATCCGGTGTGACCCCTCCATGTCATTGTTTATTTTCCTTCTCCCTGACAGGGTGGAATCCTAATCTTGTTGTAGACACAAGGGTTAATCTAAACCCCAGACCCCATTATAATGTATTTAGAGATCAAGAGACTGGAATTGTTAGACCTGAGACAAAAGCTCAATGAAAGGCAGGCTGAGAAAAAAGGATGGGCCAGGGGCTAGAGGTGGCAGCAGTGAGAGAGTAAACAATGCACAGAAGCTGAATCCCATTTTACATATGACTGATTCTAACTAAATCTGATTGAAAATAGTATATATATATAAAAAAGTATGTGATGAAGAAAGAAGTCTTGTGACGGTTCTCTTTCTAACAATGAAATATGAAAAATAATATAATTAGCAAATAACTATAATTATAATGTGTGTTCAATTAGAAAAATGCAACAGAGGCTATATAAATATGTACAAAATGTTAAATATATTTTAAATATAAATATAAAAAATATAAATAGTGTAAAAATTTTTGTATATGTACACACACTATTTAAAATATATACACTACTGTTCAAAAGTTTGGGGTTGTGAAGATTTCATGATGTGTTGTGGAAGCGGAAAGTGGAAGCGATTAGGAACAGCAGCAAATCAACCACAAAGCAGATGACCACATAGTCACAGAGTGGGGTCACCGAGTGCTGAGAGGCATGGTGATTCCAAATCTGAAGAGGTCCAATCTTCCACTGGCATTAATATCAGCAAAAACTGCGTCAGGATGTGTGTTTCCATGGCCGAGCAGCTCCTTGCAAGTCTTATATCACCAAGTACAATGCCAATGCCAAGTGTCGGATGGAGTGGTGTAAAGCACGCTGTCACTGGACACTGGAGCAGTGGAAACGTGTTCTGTGGAGTGACGAATCACACTTCTCTGTTTGGCAGTCTGGTGGGTGAGTCTAGATTTGCCGGATACCAGGAGAACGTTACCTGCCTGAATATATTGTGCCATCTGTAAAATTCGGTGGAGAATGGATAATGGTTTATGGCTGTTTTTCAGGAGGCCATTACTAATCCCCTTATTTCCAGTGAAGGGAAATCTTAATGATTCACCATACCAAGACATTTTGGACAATGCTATGGTTCCAAATTTGTGGGAACAGTTTGTAGAAGCCCCTTTTCTATTCCAGCAGGACTGTGCCCTAGTGCTCAAAACAAGGTCCATAAAGACATAGTTGGATGAGTTTGGTGTGGAAGAACTTGACTGGGCTGACCTAAATCCCATCGAACAAATGCTCTACTGGATGAATGGGCAAAAATTCTGACAGAAACACTCCAAAATCTTGTGGAAAGCCTTCCCGGAAGAGTAGACGCTGTTAGAGCTGCAAAGGGTTATAGCTGCAACTCCATATTAATGTCTATGTGTTTAGAGTGCAATGTCATTACAGTCCCTGTTGGTAATAGTCAAGTGTCCCAATACTTTTGTCCATATAATTATATATACCGTTTTTTATATATTATGCAGATACTATAATAAAATAATATTTCTAATTATTAATACAGTGAGTCTAAAATGATTAGTCTAAAATAACATAAAAACATGCCACCAAACCAAATCATATGATCTGAATGAGGACCGAGTACCCCTGAGGCTGAAACTGTTCCTGCAATGAATATTTTCAATGATCAATGAATAACCTATAATCACTCCTGTGCAGAAGATTCCTGAAATGCACATTGCTGTTGTCAGTTTGTTTTCTACTGTTTGTAAGTAATATGGAGCAGACAGAAAAAGGCAATGGTGCAACATGATTATTAAAGGGATAGTTCACTTTGAAATTAATTTTTGATATGTTTTAGCTTACCTCCAGTGCATCCAAGATGTAGGTGTCTTTGTTTCCACAGTATCTTCAATTTTGATAATTTTAGGTAAAACCGTTGTTGTCTGTCAGTCATACAATGGAGGTGAAGGGGGTCCTCCTCAAAGAGCAGTCAAAATTAAACATTATTTAATGACTCGTAAATGTAAGTACACATTGATGCCCTAAGACACGAAACGAGTGGTTTTTGTGAGAAAACGAACAGTATTTATATTGTTTTTACCTCTTGTAACCACAGCCATGCCCAAGTTATCTGAGGGCGCGGACGCTTCTGTGTGTGACGTGTACGCAGACTGGTGCATAGATATATATACCCTAGATGTCGCCTTGGCTAAGGTTTCGTTCCAATGAACTGCCGTCGCCAAGGCGACATCTAGTTTATCTATGCACCAGTCTGCGTACACGTCACACACGGAAGCGTCCGCGCCCTCAGATAACTTGGACATGGCTGTGGTTACAAGAGGTAAAAACAATATAAATACTGTTCGTTTTCTCACAAAAACCACTCGTTTCGTGTCTTAGGGCATCAATGTGTACTTACATTTACGAGTCATTAAATAATGTTTAATTTTGACTGCTCTTTGAGGAGGACCCCCTTCACCTCCATTGTCTGACTGACAGACAACAACGGTTTTACCTAAAATTATCAAAATTGAAGATACTGTGGAAACAAAGACACCTACATCTTGGATGCACTGGAGGTAAGCTAAAACATATCAAAAATTAATTTCAAAGTGAACTATCCCTTTAATATGCATTATTTCTCTTCCTTTCTCTCTCAGATGACTCTCTGTACGAGTCTCCAGAGCCTTTCCTGACAGATGACTCCAGCAGTGGTTGGGCATTAACGCCCAGCTTGTGGCACATGCTTCCGTTGCTTCTGCTTTTGTGTCCCTCATAGCATTATAATCCACTGAGCCTGACCACGCCCAACCTGCCCCACCCCATCATACATCACAATGACATGCCCCACCCCATGAGATCTGGTGTCTAGCCAACAAACATTGCTTCCTCACCTGCTCTTTGCACTGTTGAAATGGATTTTTACCAACCCTGCAACCCGGCTGGACATCCGAAAACCATCTCTAATTTACAATGACAATATGCCTCGCCCAAATGCCCAAATATGGGCGTTCTTGCATAGGCTTTCTTGCTCGACTGACAAAAGACATGTGAAGCGGCCAGCATTTTTGAGTGTGCTGTACTTTTCTGCCGACATCCCACTATCATCCTCGTGTCAAGATTCAAGCGACTGTCATCTGAATCTCTCTGTTTGTCTGCGTTAACCACCTACCTGAGCCTTTACTGTCATCTGAGCTCAGTTTTCACTATTGTGAGATCGTAAAAGTGTGCAAGTGAGTTTGTGCTTGTGGGTGCACGTATGCCAATGTTCGCATATGAACAGATGTACAGAGCAGTCACAGTCCCTTAAAAAATTACTACAAAAAAACTTGTTCTATTACTCATTGAGAGAAGGAGACAAATCTATCTGTGAATCTGCCAAAGACACTACTTAAAACTTTTTTTAATAGGGGGAGTGGGGCAAATACTGGCTTTGGGAAGAGATTACATGCAACCATGGAACATTTCAGGCTTTTAGATTCATGGGAGGGGAGTGACAGACGACAGTGTAGATTTTTCTATATAATTATCTTTTTTGTCATACAAAAAACAAGAATGTTGCGTAGATTAAAAAAACAATAGCTAAATATGGCCTTTTTTTCACTGGTGCTCAATCTAAAATGAGTTTATCTGTCTCAAACTGCAAAAATAATATTAATAATTTTCTTAGTGAGTATTTTTGACTTGTTTTGCAGTAAAAATATAAAAATCTTTTTATTTTTTAAATTTACCCCATTAGAAAATTATGCAGCCCCTAAAGTGACAGAAAAAAACACTTTCACATGAGAAAAGTTTTGCATATGCACTTTTGCAAAAGAAACTTTTCTCTGAAAATGTTCTGGTTTCCCATCGCAACAGAATTAAACATTTTCTCGTTCACACTCACTATGTCAAGAGAACAGAAATGTTCTTGTTTTTTCACACAAGTTTTCCATATGTGCATATTTCCGAATGGATTTTTTTTTTGTTGCAAAACTGTGAACAAGAAAGTTTTATAAAGTTTTTTCATGAACACAATACATTTCTCATTCACATGTGCAACACACACAGAAAAAAAAAACGTAAATTTGAAAGTTTTGCACACAAGTTTTTTGTACACACGTAGAACATTTGTGCACATGGCACAAATGCCACTTTAGGGGCTCCATAACAAATAATTTTCTGTTTTCGTTTGTTTATATTAAGCATAAATCTAACAAACTTTTGTGAGGTTTACACTTAAACAAGAAAAAAAAAGAAATATCCTCTGAAAACATCCTCTTAATATCTTACGCAGTTTTACACAACACAAAAATACAGATTAAGAGAACGAATTTTTGCAGTGTATACAGTGCCAAGTGGAAGAGGGATATCTGTGTCAAAGAAGTGTTTGTTGTCAGGTCTCCTTTCTAACTTTTGTTCCAGCCTGTCTCTCTCTCTCTCTCTCTCTCTCTCTCTCTCTAGCTGTCATTTTTGAATGTGGTCTTTTCTATGTGCCGCTCCGTCACGCATAGATCTCCCACACTTGCACTTGCTCCCTTTATCCGTGCTGTGAAGGACCGCTGAATAAGAGGCCCCAGGACCCTGAGCGCCAGGTAACTGTGACATCATTATGACATCACAGGCTTTGGCGTAAAGACTGATGGACCGAGGCCTTGCACTGCAAATAGAAATGCTACATAACATGACTCCATATGAGGGATTAAAATCCACATAGCACTTCTGTTTTGTGACAATTTCATGAAAAAAAAAAATAACAGAAAGGAGAAACTATAAAGATGTGGGAATATTTGTGCGTTGGAATTGTTTTGTGACTGTAATAATAAATGTCATGAAGATTTCAAGGCAAGTCGGCATGGATTGTCTAAGAGAATGAAAAAGTTTTTTTTTTTTTTAAATGTCTGTTGGAACTTTTATATTTTACTTATTCCTGTGTTATTTTTAACTTTGCAAAAGAGCAACAGAAATTATTCATATGTGATATGAAATTATAATGTAGACCCTTGAATTATTAGAGCAACGATGGTACCAGTTCTGCAGTTAAATGAGTCTAGACAAGTCAGATGTTGCTGTTGTTGTTGTTGTTGTTGTTTCCTGATTGTATCACGATTCATTCTGGTACATGTAGTCCTGAATATATTTTTTTTTCTCCAAGTGCTACTATGAAATTATTTTTATTTCTTAATCATGTGGATAAAACATATTTTGAGTTTCTATAAAATGTTCAAATGCTCTGGCAAAGGACAACTACAAGAAAAAAAAAGAAAAAACTGAAATAAAGCTTTTTTTGTTTAAAAAAGAATCTTTTCTTTACAGATTGTGAAATGTGAGTTTGTATAAATCTGTGTGGAATTAAATGCTTGATTTTTTTTTTTTTTTTTTGAAAAGTGTGTATTCAAAAGTTTGGGATATTTTTTGAAAGACATTAATACTTTCAGTAAGCAATGATGCATTAAATTACTAATATTTATCATTATTTTCTATTTAAAAAAAAAGCTGTTCTTCTGAACTTTGCATTCTTCACTGAATTCTGAAAAAAAACACAACACAGTTTCTACAAAAACAGCACAACTGTTTCAGCAATGACAATAATAAGAAATGTTTCTTGACCACCATATTATAATTATTTATGTAGGATCATGTGACACTGAAGACTAGAGTAACGATGCTGAAAATTAAGCTTAGCCATCACAATAAAAAATTCCATTTTTAAATATATTAAAATAAAAAAGTTCACTTTCTTGTAGTGGATTCTGGGATTGCCTTCTCAAATGATTTCAGAACAGATTGTTATGTCTTGTTGAAATGCTCCCTCTGTAGGCAGCTCACTTGGTTTGGACTTTGAAGTATCCCAAAACCCAAATTTAGAGAAAGTCTAATCTGTTTGATCAACATTTTTTTTATTATTTTTTTTTATGATAGAATTAGGAGTTTTTCATCAGTGTTACTTTTATTTTGATAAAAGCAAAGGATCTCAGACCAGGCCAAATGAGCTCTAGAGACATCCTCAAAGATATGTTAATATATCAATCACACAGAAATCAGACAACATGAAAGATCTTCCTTTGATTTTTATGTTTCCAACTTGCGGGGGTGAGGGGGGAAGATTATCCATCAATTTAGCAGTGCAATTCAATAACTTAATCCCTGCTGGCCTTGTAACCCTCCAGGACTCTGAAAACTTCACTTTGCACTGACAACACATTTTCCATTTCTAAATGCCTCTTGCTCTTGTTCTGTTTGTCTCTCACTGACACACACGGACACCTTGTGTCCAAAGGCTTTACTATTTGAGAAGGGATGCCAGTAAATGCACCTGAACGGCTGTAGTTTACAGTAATGTTTGTAAGAGGGTCAGAAAATGGAGGCTGATAGGACTGAGTGCTGAGCTTGGTCTCATGCAGCGATGGAAACCACAGTGCCATGGGAGTCTTACTGAGGAGAGATGGGGGTAATTGTGCACAGATTTGGACAATTTTCCCCCAATTTGGTATTATCTGTTTCCTACCAGACAGCTGAAACAGAAAATGATGGAAGATTCTAGAAAATACCCCTTTCCGTGACACTAGGGCCTCCTGGAAATTACACATCATACCATCCATAGTGCATCACATTATGGAATAAGAAGTATTTATACATTACTAAATATGGTATGTATGAATGCCTTATAATTCATGTGGAAAACATTTTGTGTCAGTCAAATGTCATTAACATCAAGTAAAAGTGTCTGACATTGATGTTTTTTTAAAATATGACAAGGCATTCGTCGCCAAGAAAAACTCATAACATGCAATTTGTTTCATTTGTGTGGGACCTATATTCATAATCTTTCAAACAAACATAGTAAACTACTAGAAAATGGAAAAAAATTACCACAGGTGATGAAGTTCACTTAAAATAATAAAGGTTTAATTCAATTATCCGCTTCATTTGCACGAGGTCAAATGTTAAACTGGGGTGAACCAATGTGGGATTGGTTTGGATTAGCATACTTCCTAGCACTGCATTAAAAACTATGCACAGAATGGTATGCATGAAATATCTACATAAGTAGTAAATAACTAAAGAGCACTCCGTGGAATATTGTATCCAGCATTGCAATGATGTCGACATGACCTTGCATTTAATGACAAATTTGTCGTCTTTGTTTTTTCAGACTGCAAAGAGTTTATTCTTTTATCTTTTCTTTTCTTTTTTCAGCAAATTGGAATTGAAAAAATATATAATTACAACATGGTCAGCACTCACTGAATTAAACATGGCAACATGAGCTCATTAGCACTGAGCTCTGAGGTATTTGTCCATAAAGTGTTGTAACGCATGAATTTTTCCATGTTTGGATGGATATGCAAATGTACAAGTTCAACATTGACAGTATCTAAAACGTATTACTATCAACAAAACAAAAATGTTGCGAATCCTCAAAAGTTAATTATATTTTGGATTAATACAATTTATTGGTTGATTTTATTGCATTTAAAGGCTGGGTAGGGGATTTTTTGTTATGCAGGTTGAAAGTCTCTTCACATCCTGATAGCAATTACTGACTTAAATGGTCAAGTAGTTGTCAAGTCAAATCACATTTATTTATATAGCGCTTTTTACAATGCAGATTGTTTCAAAGCAGCTTTACAGAGATAACAGGAAAATAATGCAAAAAAAAAGTTTGTTTCCAGAAGAAAATAGCGTCACAGCCCAGCTTAAGTAAGTTCAGTGGTTTCATTTTTGTTTTAAAAAAGTTATTAATTCAGTTCATTTATATATATATAGCCGCTCTGGAGTAAACCGTGATGTCATCGTCCAGCTCAGTTCAGTTCAGTTCTTGTATAATAGTTTCAATGCAGGCAGATCAATATTATTGTTGAATATTAAATTAAATGTTACATTTAATGTCCCCAACTAAGCAAGCCAAGCCAATGGCATCAAAGGTGGAAAAAGGCAACAGTGGCAAGGAACCAAAACTCCATCAGGTGGCAGAATAGAGAAAAAAACCTTGGAGAACCCAGGCTCAGTCGGGCGGCCAGTTTGAACGAACAGTGTATGCTTATGATTCAGGCAGCATTACAGGTCAGAAGTCAGATTGGTTTGGAACAATCAGAATATTATCCAGTTCCATCTGGTTGAAGATCGGAGTCACGCCGGTATGGAGACGGGTTTGTTGACGATCAGTGCTGATGGCTGTTGTGTCGATGAGGCCTTCACATGGGAGAGTCTAGTTGACACAAATATATAAATAAATGTATTTACATGTATATATACAGTATATATCGTCTGTGGAAGGTGTAAGGCCATAAAATCTTTGTCCAATCATTACATTTGGTCCAAATGCATTCGGCCTGTCAACGTATGTATTTTCATGCTCTGCGCACCCTGCTCACACAGACATCACACTTCATAACTGCGTTTCATGCTATGCAGTTAGACAGACGTCAGTCACCCAGCACTGCAATCGAAAAGCAGCCACCAGTTTCTCCTCAAGCAAAACAACGAGCTTATGCTGAGTTCATGCCATAACTACTGTAATTTGAAAGAGATTTGAAACCTGTGATATTATACTCAAACCGGTTCATGACTCGAATTTATGCATTTCAATGGCAACA